ACGGTGTATTTAAAGGTCCTGTCATCGACATATTTACCAGATATATGTCACCTTGTTGAGGGTTAAAAGAAAAAAATCGATCAACTGGATCATGGTCCCCCCCCCCCGAAAGTTTGTGGGAGTCTCTTAGTAAAATCAAAAACTGTTGAGGGGAGTCCAAAGACAAAGATCCACCTTGTAGCCTTCACAGACTTTTGAGGAAAGTGCTGTTCGCGAGCGCCTGTGCGGGGATGTGAGGCCAGCACCGCGCCCGACCAGACACCCAGAGCACACGCAGTGGCTGGGCCCACGGACCCTCTTGGACTACACAATGTGGTAGAATTTCCAGGTAGCCGATTTAAGGAAGCTTATTTGTTCAAACAAAAACAGACAAAAAACTCACACGCAATCTGGTCCCGCGATTATATGCGCCTCGCTCGCACGAGGGCCTTTACCCACGGAATCGCAGATCGTGTCCGTGCGTAAATCTACGACTTCAACAAACCATAAACGCGCTCTACGCATACAACGAGCACATTATTTCCCATACATTACACGTGGTTTTGCGTTATCTGTGCCGTTGTTTTATCTGCCACCATCCCCCCTTCTCCGCACCTCTCCCCACCACCAATAGCTCGGATTATAATCAAAGAGTTTAATCTATTTTGTCAGTGTAACTAAATTCCGGGCATGCAATCGCTATACTTCCACTGCGGTGACTTTGCGAGGTGCTCATGTGTTTTCGGTTTGCCAATGGAGTTCTTTTTTTTTAAAGGTACTGAATCTCATTACATTTGTCAATGTTTATTTTTGCCGCTGATTTGTTTTTCTTGCCGGCTTCACCAGCTGTGATAAAAAGATAAAACTACTGCAGTATAACGTATTGGAATCGGGCTGTCATTCTACCGAGTTGCAGTTCAAAGCGAATTTACCGTAGTCCCACTTGTTAAAAAAAGAAATAGGTTCACGTTAAGATCGTGAGAGATGTCTGACTTATTGGGGATACATACCTACATCATCCAGCAGTGGATTGATCATGACTGATGATAGTGATGTTTCGTCTTCTCCTGAATACATTTATTGCAGATAAAGATAAGCATGTGCACATATTTGTTTCTGTGAGGGATTTTCTGCCAAGGCGATACATTTTAAGTATCCATTTGCTCAAACATGTTACACATTTACTTGAGCAAAAAAAAATAGAAAGCTGGTGTAACAGATGTCGTCATCGTCGTTGAGGTTACGTCATATATGTTTTTTACATAACTTATTTTTGCAAGTAACCATGTCAATTATGTCCAGTACTCGGGAAGGCCTTGTTGTCCCTTCCGTAAATTGAGTTATTGGCTTCGTCTCAGAGGAAACTGGAGAACACCCACCACGCACACGAAGAGTATAACACTCGAATCTACACACCGATAGATTAGATAATCTATCGCCGTACAGCTGGCCATCTCAAAGCCCAAGCCTGCAACACCTGCTATTACCAAGAGTCTTACATCCATGGCATACGTCGCGAGCCGTCCCTCGCGTACGGCGAATCTGGACGACTGCCCCGGGCCCCGCGCTTGGGGGGGGGGTGGAGGCACGCTTCAACGTCACGATGTCAGATGTAATACTTCCAGTTGAGTTTGAAGGCATCGAGGGGCTCACACGGTGGGGGTTGCCCGGGGTCCCGCATCCCCCCCCCCGTCCCCCCGTCCCCTGGACAGCCCTGCATCTATCCAAGTCAGCGGCCCAAAAATGTTTCTCACCCAGCACACCGCATCCAGTCGACCTCTCGCTATGGCTGTGGCTACTCAGTCACGTGTCACCTACTCCCGAACTGGACATCATTCAGTGGCCAATTAAACCCTGACACCGTCAATGTACTAACCAGGTTCAACCCAGCGTGGCTTCAGATATCTGACGAAATCTGTTGCGTTGAGGGTGATTTGGTCATAGGAAAGTAAATAAATGGTAAAATATTTGTCCCCTGTGCTTCAATTGCTCAGCAGGTAGTAAAAGCTGTATCACCGTTTGCAAAGCACCAATAAACATAAAACAATAATCAGTGTAAAAATGCCTCTACAGGGGGCAAAGTACGGGGTTGTTTGTAAATGTGTAAATACCCTTCTGAAATTTAAAGGCAGAAAATACAGTATATAGAAAAAAATACAGTAAAAAGAAAACATTAGATTTCAAAGCCTCCATGTCTCCAAAGCCTGGTGTCTCCACCAATCTCAATTCTGTTCACTTATTATTCAATCCGTTAACGCTCTCCAGACACGTGGTTCAACCTTCCATCTGTACTTTTCTAGAAAGGTGAGTAGAGTTGAGGGTGAAATGCATGGGAAGGAGAAAAGGAACGGTGGATGGGAACAGATAAGAGTAATAACGGGGAAAATGCCAGGAAAATGATGGAAAGTGACCGAAAAAAGTGTACCAAAGGGTCAGGAAAGATGAGGATGGGGGAGGATGCGTCCGGTTGGCTACGTACGGTGCGAAAGAAGTTCAACATATTGTGCATACATGATGAGCTCGCCGCTGCATAGAGGAACGGCGTCTGTTTTCACGGGGGGCGGTGGGGAGGAGGGTGGGGGGGGGTGCCGAGTGGGGGTGGACACACTCATGAGGTGGCGTCATTTACGAGAAGCTCGGGCTGATTTAGATAGATGGAGCAATTGCTTTCACAATATTAAATCAATCGCCTGGTGAGAAGGGGGATATGTATTCGAATTCACTGGGGTATATAAATAAACGGATCGCCGTGTATAATTGTGTAAGCTCTGTGTGTGTGCGCGATCAAACGGAGGGTGCTTGGCTTCGCTGAGGATGCGTTGTGTCGGTTCGACTCTACGACTTTCAATATCTACTTAATTGCTTTAGCGTCAACATTTCACGTGGGAGGCGCATCGGTTCACTGACGATTAACATCGTACGTCTGCGCCAGTGCACGAGACTCGGATGAATGTAGAACTTCAGGATGTCCCCACCTTGTTTCACATTGACCAATATTTCTCCGTTCAAATACAAAATAATGAAAATGCACGCTACACGCGCCGAATGATCGGTAAAACACGCTCCACGTTGACATTAGCTTGAATCGACACTCCCCACGTCACGTGTGATATTCGTTCACACACAGAGGTCCTTCCCTAAATCTATCTGGCAAGTCACTAGCATTAGGTCAAGCAAGGCTGGCTGCTGATGAGACACTCAATGACGAATCCGTTACAGGGTTTTGCTTGTATTGATTCAATGTTGCTGAAATTATGCACTCCCTAGAAGGCCATGTAGCTGATGGGATGTGTAAAAATACAGATTTTTCTGTGTGTTGAGGGACATATGTGGAGGCGTATCGTCAGCGTATGTATGGTTAGTTAATTTGAATCGGCTTTCTAAAAGATAAAGATCCCCCGAAAAGTCTTTACAGACTGTAGGGATGTTAACGGCCTGTTTAGGGCAAGTGCTGTTAGAGCACCTATCTAAGCCAACACGACACACGGGGGGGTGGGTGGCCCACACCACGCCCGGCCGCCTTTGTCTCCCTAGTGCCCAAGTTTACACGCCGCACAAGGTACTCATTTTAGGCTGAGTTGACCTAGGGGAGGTCCAGGACCGTTTCAGATAATCGTCCACCGCATGAGCAACCCACGCATCCGGTCCCAGCATTGTCAAAGCCCCCCCCCCCCTCCAGGATAGAGCCCCCCCCCCCCTCACGACTGTGATGATAAACCCCGCCTGCTCTTGGCAATGACCTTTAACCCCTCGGGCTCACGATGCCCACTCGATTCAACCGCCCACGGTTTAACCACGTGGGTGGTTGTGTTGAGTTCATCTGCAACTCCCTCGTGACATAAACTTTGCCACCGAAGATTAATAACACTGTGTAACAATTTTTTTTGTTCCTGGGTAGTAAGTGTTATTTCCTAATTGTTTATGCCTATTATTCCCCACAAATTGTTTATGCCTATTATTCCCCACAAACTTTGCTTTTGTGACCAGGACAGTGATATTTTGAAACTTACCTATTTTCAATGAGAAAACAGGCGAATTTGTGTCTTTTCGTTCACATAAAGTCAGAAAAAACAACATATGAATCAAAATCAACATGTATTTATACTAAAACAATATTTAGACACCAAGGCGCACTACCACAGGCGGGACTGGCCACAGCGGACCGAGTTCTCTGTGGGGAGGAGCAATCTCGAAAAACTACTCACTTCTAAATCTTTTGTAGTCATTTTTGTATTACTTTAGTATAAAAACATGTTAATTTTGATTCATATGTTGCTGTTTTTTTTACTTTATGTGAACAAAAAGACACAAATGTGGCCGTTTTCTCATTGAAAATAGGTACATTTAAAAATATCACTGTCCTGGTCACTAAAGAAAAGTTTGTGGGGAATAATAGCCATTTTCAATACTTTTTGGGCATCAGCAATTACGAAATAACACTTCCTACCCAGGAACAAAAATTGTGTTACATAGTATCATACATCCTCCACCTACCCACCCACCCCAACCTCGTCATCATGATCAATAAAAATGATAATCATCAGCCATGATTTGTCCACTGCTGAATTGAAGGCCACCACCACCATCCATCACTGTCCGCGGAGACCAAATATCACTCGTGCAAGACCGGCAATGAAATGGCAGCGACAGGAGTCCACGATCCGTCTCGCCATCTGCAACACGAGCTGGCTTCATCACTCCGTCTCCGCGGTGATACTCCGCCCCTAGTCTCTTCCATCATCATCATCACCGCCACCAAAGATAAAGACAACCAATCTCCCCTTGTGTGGTCTCACACCCCCCTTCACGGAAACACAAGCGACGTGGGGAGGCCTTCATCCAGCAGTGGATTGGTTACAAGAAGGCAAACACCCCCCACCCACCCATCCCTCCCAGCCGTAGATTCGTGCCGAGACTTCTCCGGGACAAGCGCTGTTCAGCGAGCTCCTCTGGAACGGCAGAGCACGCGAGATACGAACCGGAGCAGAACGCCCCCCTGTGCTCACAACAACCCAGCAGCCCCTCTCAGTCGGCGAGGATGCATGCTGCTCCTCCTAATTGTGATTAAGCTCTTTGTTGTAATCAAAAGCATCTCCTCCTCCTCCTTCTTCCCCGTGCTGCCTGTGACCACAGTGGGTATAGCTGGAGACTTCCTTTTTCCGCCTCTGCGTGCCGAGCCTGGCTCTGACATCACTCTCTGGGAAGCACACGCGCTCCTGGCTCGTGAGCGGCGCGAGGCAGCGCCCGGAAGAGAGCAGGCGGCGTGCCCACGACTGACAGACAGTCTGGGAGATAGCGAGGGGGAGAGACGCACACACACTCACACACGCGGCGGAGAGCGAGACCGGGAGGTTCGGCGGACGAAGAGTGAGACCGAGAGACTTGCAGACGGACGGGGGAGACGGAGACGGGCGGAGAGACACACACACAGACTACACACACACAGACTACAGACACACAGACTAAAGACACACACACAGACTACACACACACAGACTACACACACACAGTGACTACAGACACACAGACTACACACACGCACACAGACTACAGAGACACACAGACTACAGACACACAGACTACAGAGACACACACACAGGCTACAGACACACACAGAGACTACAGAGACACACACACAGACTACAGAGAAACACACAGACTACAGAGACACACACAGACTACACACACAGACTACACACACAGACTACATACACACAGAGACTACACACACACAGAGACTACAGAGACACACACACAGACTACACACACAGAGACTACAGACACACACAGGCGGAGAGACACACGAGCTCAAGCACTGAGAAACAGACGAACGAACAGACAGATAGACAAACGTACACAGACGCACTGAGTGACAAACCTCCAGACCGACAGATAGCCTCGCCCGACTGAAAGCCCGACTCACTGGCAGGCACACGAGCAGACAGAGACAGGGGAAAGAGAGAGAGAGTCGGACAGAGGCAGGTACACACACAGACATACACGCGTGCGGACAGAGACAGGGGGTAGAGAGAGAGAGTCGGACAGAGGCAGGTACACAGACAGACAGACAGACACGCGTGCGGACAGAGAGGCATCGCACGGATGCCCAGAGACTCAGACGCGCATCTCAGCGGTTGAGTGATCACCGTAAATCGCTCCACTGAACTCTACCCGACCCACCCCACCCTCGGCGCTCCTCCGCGGGCACTCGCCTCTCGCAACAAGTTCCACAGCGAAGAGGAGGACATGGCAGAGAACAAGAAAGGGGCGAGCAGTGGAGTGGCCTCCATCGGGGACTTTGACCCCCTGCAAGCCAGCGCGCCCGCCACCAAGGTGGAGGTGAGCGTGTCCTGCAGGTGAGTCTGTCCGGAGTGTCCAGCAGTTGATAGAACATGATAAGTGCTTCACGTGCGTCTCCTCCTTCAGCTCGACTACATGTGTGCCCAATGTCAGCTTTCTAACTCTTCTCTAAGTGTGTTAAATCATCTGATCTCACCCCCCCCCCCCCCGCTATTTTGTGGAGGGGAGCCCACAATGGGGGCCCAAGGTTTTTAACATCGACTTGGGCAGAAAACGTCTTTGGCAGAGGTGATGGCCAACGGTCGAGACTAACGACGGAGTGGCAGGCAAAGGATGGAACATGCCCGAGAAGACGTCCACGGAAACCGCGGAGACGGAGCGACGAAATGAGATCGCGCGCAGCTCTGTGGATGGATTCTCGCATCGCGAGACCGTGGGCCATCGGGGGTGGTTAGGGGAGGCCTCCATCCAGCAGTGGATAGATCATGGCCCAGGAATTCGCGTTCATCCTGTGTCAACGTGTTTGGGCACGCGTTTGTTTGTGTGTGCTTACGAAATACAGCGATACCGGGCGCGATTCCGGGTGATTTGCTCAAACGCCGCGTGTGCGTGTATCGACCTGTGCAGACGTAAGTCGCTCTGCGTGTTGTCTGTTGGTGGTTTCCATTGGCAATGCAGGTTCGTAAACCGCGTGCTCTGCATCTCGCTTGCTCTCACGAGCACAGCCACGAAATGTGGGAGGTTCGTTGAGAATAGAAGGGAGGTGGAGGGAAGGACATCTCTGTTGCGAATCGGTTATGGTTGATAGTATATACTCCAGGCTTAATGTCTCGTTCAATATTGTGTGGGCCGCTGGTGGAAAGGGCACGTGATTCACAGCCAGAGTGAGGGTGATTTCAGGATGTGTGCCAGATCCGGAAATATTTGTCGAGAGAGCCCCGTCGACTGCTGCAGTGAAGCGCCGAACGTACTGTACCGGAGATGAAGACGAAATGGTCCTGAATTTGCCCGATCTTATCGGATCTCAGACGCTGAGCGGAGTTGGGCCTGGTTGGAAATTTGGACGGGTGACCTGCACCGGTGACCTGCACCAGGGACTTGCCAGCTGTAGGTAGCGTGGAGAGGAGATGGCGATGCTGGATATCACGCGTTCTCGTACGCGTGCTGGTCTCATTCCACATGAAGGCTGACCGTTATGAATGGAATTGGCCACGAAAAAAAAGCCTCATCACGTAAAAAAAAGATGTGTGTACATACTCTTTGGTTATTTCAGTAAAGTCACGTGGGTATAAAATAAAATAAATCACGACGTTTCTGGCGCAACACAAGCGCTTGTGACTTTACCGAAAGAACCAAAGAGTATGTGTGTACACTTAATTTAGCTCAATTCCAGGTCTGAAATTTTTTTGTAAAAATATATATTTTCGTTTGACCGTCATGCATTGAACGTCGCTCTCAAGTGGCAGAGAGGGTGGGAAACTGCTGTCTCCTACTGAGTGGAAGAAAGCTCACTTGAAGGGATCTCAGATGTAGTTTCCTGATATGGGGCCGTCCATAAATGACGTCACGCACCTAGGGGGGGGGATCAGACATTTGTGACAATGTGTGACGAGGGGGGGGGGGTGAGAAATGTGACGTAACATCAAAATGCGCAACTTTAAATAAATATAGACAACACGTTCTACTTCATTAAATAGACTTTTTCATAAATGTTTTCTCCTACAACATCAGAGTGCAGCGCCACATTAAATACGCACTACAATGACAATAGTTTAAGGCGATTTGAAGCATGTTTTATTTGGGGGGGGGGGCAGAGCTTTGTGACGTCGTATTTGAGGGGGGGTCTGACTTTTTGTGACGCCGTGTGACTAGGGTGGGGGGGGGGGGACTAAAAAATCGTCCAAAATCGCGTGACGTCATTTATGGACGGCCCCTATCTACTTCTACGGGCCATGAACGGACACGAGGCTTGATGGTTGTTTAACGATACCTGCGCACGCTGGCTGGTCGGGGCGAGTTTATTCAGGTTTAACTCGCCCCTCACCTGAGCCACAAGCCCGAATCGAACTATCGTCGCGAGGGTTCATGACGCAGGGGAAAAACAAACCCTTGAGCACTTGAACGTGCGTGTGTGTGGTTTGATGTAGGAATAAAGATAAAATCGGGCTAACGGTGTGTGCATGTGGTCTTTGGTCACGTTGGCGTGATGGCGCAAACACCAAAGTCACCTCAGCCGGTGACAAATAGGAATGTCAAGTAAGAGTATTTGTGACGTGGCTAATTATTCTGACAGGGGGGAAGAGACGCGCGTCGTTAAGTCAATTTTATATTTGTTTACAGGCGTCGGCGCCAATCGCGTTAACACTCGACAACAACAACAAAAAGTTAGAACATTCTAAACAATGAGTGTAAGTACATATTTACTTTCCATCTATAGCAGGGTTGGACAACCTTTCAAAGACGAAGATAAACATTTTTTGTCTTTGACCCAAATAGTTCGAGAGCCGCTTTACACGCAGAGAGAGCCACTTGTACACAACACACAGCAGTAGCAGCAGCAGGTGTACAGGAGATAACGACACACATTCTGACTTTAAAAAACACAAAATAGGCGATGGAATAAACTGTGCCTAATCAGTGTTTGTCACCCTTAGGTATTCATTAACAACGCAGTTTGACTGTTGTACATTTCATCGCCACCAAGACATCCCACAGTGACCCACTCCATGTCAGATGTAATACATTGCTTATTATCTCTGCGTTAAATGATGTTTAGGATTTCATTTGTTTATGACTTTTAAAAAACGGCTGCCCGTGAGAGGGTCAGCGAAAGAGCCACGAGGGGTGAGGCCAAAGAGCTACGAATCGCAGCTTGCAGACCCCTGCCTGAGCTATCCTCAGAGTAGAGAGATGCGGGTCTTGAGGATTCTACCCTCGACTCAGGCGCAGCTCCACTGCCGAACAAAAGTCCACATCAGCACGCCTCACATCCAGCTCTGCACCGATGCGTTCGAACATACAATTATGATTATTGTCGTTTTACTCAGGAGAGCCTCGGCAAGTCCCAAGAGGAGCCCGCCAAGTTTTGTCAGGAGGGTGGCAATGTTGCCACGCACGTAATCCCAATCGAGCAATTTGCAGGTAACCGTTCAGCATTTGGGATGTTTCGGCAAATATCAGAATCATTGTGGTTATTTTTTTTGTTAGCTAAATCAAATCATGGTTACATTTTATATTGCACGAGCTTCTATTTAAAAAAATAGATATATAGAACTCACGACAATTCATGTTGTTGTTGTACACTTTGTCTGCACCTCCGATTAACACGGTTGGTTACGTACGGTGCGAAAGAAGTTCAACATACGTACATACGCATGTACAGTATATGGGCAATTCTATGGTAACGGTATAACAAGACCACTATCCAGGCACATTAGTCATGGCAATTATGTGGGCTTTATTTATGTGCGTGCACCAGCCTCCTGTATATGTCTGCGGGCAATTCCACGGGAACGGAATTACAAGACTGTCACACGGGCATATGAGATACGTCGTGGACTTGGAATGGCACCGGGAGATAGAGAGAGAAACGCACAGATCATGAGAATGTACGCGCGGGTTAACGATATCGTTCCAACCGCTAGCACAAGTGGGCTTGGGCAGTACACGTCGCGAGAAAAGACGGTCAAGACTTTACGATGGAGCGGCGGCAGGCCAGGAAAGGGGCACGCATGAGAGCGTGTCCGCCGCGGAGATGGAGCGGGAGAAATGTGTGCAGGTCCTGGGTCGAGTATTGCCTTGGAGGACCGTGAGAGATTGCAGCTTTCGTGCAGCAGCAGTGGATTGGCTGGTGATAATGATGATGGGTGGCATAGACGTTTATACATATTTATTATCGCAAACAATCCACAGTGACAGAATTGCAAAAACACTATCGTTGTTGTGTGTATTGCACCAGATTTTTTTTTATCAACCATAACCGTGAAAATGACACGTGCGTTAATTTATGTGATTTTTCGGAAGTGGCTCGTGGGGTCAGAGCGCTGAGCCGACACCGCTGTGACCCTGAGTTTGAATGCAGGCAGCCGCCAGTGATTAAGCCAGGTTCTTAAGTGTAGAGAGCTGATAGTCTCAGCTCGGTCACCAATGACTGAACGTAAGAATAACAACGCATACAATTTGGTACTGCACTTAAATTGGTTGAATTCCAGCTCGGGCGAGTTAAAATCTCAGTTTGACTGCCATGCGACGAACGTTGCTACCACACACAGAGCGAGTGGGAAAGTGCTGCCCTCTACTGTGTGGACCAGAGGTCACTTGAAGGGATCCTAGGGGTAGCTCTGTGGTATCTGCTTCCGCGGGTCATTCTCGGACACAACGGATTGCACTCGCTGTGCGAGTTACACGAATGGATTTTTCGGCTCGTGATATGTTGCCGAGAGTAGAATCAGGATAAAATTTTGGAGGAAATTACCAAAAGAATTTAGATTAGATTTTATGTGACTGTCAGATTCTGTATTTCAATCTGTAATTCCATTATCGTTTAATTGACAGCTTATATATATTTATTTTAAAACCCCTGTAACAGCGGACCAGTCTTTAATAAACCCAGGGCATTGGGGCCAAGGAACACACTGTCTCCGGCGAGCGTGTGTGGGCAGTTGTGGATGGAGGAAGGGAATTCCCCCCAAAGCGCAGCGGGAACGTGGAGGAAAATGGGTCATGGCCACCTGGGCAGACGGTGATGATGAATGCTCCTGGAATATATATATTTTTTTCCCTTCTGCTCCCCGCGCTCGCCGGGTGCTGCTAGCAATGGCTTCCTTGCGATCTGGCAGTACGAGGGCACGACGACACGTGGCAGTATCGGACGCTGCCACGTTGTGGACGGTCAGCACGCTGGACTTGCGACGCAGAGGGCACCGGTCCGATATCTCGCCATGCGGCCGTTATAACGGCGACCCGATCGCTCGCAGTGCGTAGAGCCAATGGGCCTCCTCGGAGCACATCAGAACTCATGTCAGAGACATCCAGCAACCGCTGTATTCTACAAACG